CTCTAATAATCCAATTGTTTACATGGTATAACTCTTTATATAATTTTATTTTTCAGCTTCATATTAATTGCATACAGTTTTGTCTTTTTTTTTCCACCCAATTAATGAATCTCTGCCTTTTCAATGTCATATTTAACCCAATTACATTTAATGCCACCATTTCTTGGCTGGATTCAAATCTACCATCTATATTGGATAAAATAGTTCTGTTGTAGGCAGCTGAATGAGATAGAAATATTATAGGCAGTCAGACAGGATCAGACCCTCGAAGGAGATGGAAGACAAGATACCCTCCAACTGTAAGAGGAATAGATGCTCCCGCCATGGGCCAGACCTAAAGACCAAAGATCAAAAAAATGCTGACCTCTCTAAAAATAAGCATGTGGGATTGATCATCACCTTGAGGAAGCCAGGAAGAGTCACTAATCCAACTGCTACCGACTGGCTACTCGATCAACCCCTGTTCTATATTCATGCCCGCTTGCTACATCACCCACTTCCCCATTTGGTCCTGGACTTAATCAATTTTACCTGAGCAATGTTACTTGTAACCTTATTGGCTGACTATAGTTTTGTCCCACTTCATGCCCACCTATGGGAGTTCCCATGTTCTCCACCCTAGACCCATCTCACCACATGGTTTTACTCTAAAAATCCCTGGAAGAGACAGCTTTGGGGACAGTCCGCTCTGGTCCCCTTCTGTCCTTCTCTCGGACAGTTTTCTTTCCCTGAATAAATATTCTGCTCTTAACCTGTTTGTTCCTAAAATTCATTCCTCAGTTTTAGAGAACACGAGCGCATTCCAGGTGCCTTTCAGGTCAGGAGTTTCACTCTCCTATATCAGTTCTAGGTCCTGTACATCCCTGCTGACACCTGCAATGGCAGGCTTTACCTGTTCTAGTGGATGTGTAATGTATTTCACACTATCTTTTGTTATTTTCTTCATACTAACACTGTTGAGCCCTTTTAATGTGATTATTGTACATCAGCAAATCTTTTTCTTTAAAGGGAGTTGACTTCCAGGGTTGCTTTATGATTATTTTTTTTAATGTATTTAGTACAGGATCTATAGGGTCTCACTACACAGATAGGACTTGTAGTGATCCTCCTGTTTTCAGCCTCCCAAGTGCTAGGACTGCAGGCATGCATCACCACACCTAGTCTCATTCACCATCTCAGCACATCCTGATGAAACCCAGTCCCTGCATCTGCCTAAGCAGGTGCTTTAGTCTGCTGAGCTATCTGGCTGGCCCTGATGTTTAACTTTTCTTGTCCTGGCGCATCACCTCCTCTTTCTTGAGGCCCATTCCCAGACTACAGCCTCAAGTCTCTCATCCTAGCTCAGGCTTAGTAGTAGAGA